AGAGTCTGTTCTAAGAATGAATTGAGGCCTTAGGATCCTTCTGTTTGCGAGATCTGGTTTGGTGAATTTGCAAGATGGGTAGGAATGTATAAAAAGAAGTGCAAGAAGACCAAAGAGAGTCTCTTAATTAAGGCGGCCAAATGCTATTCTGGAAAACTGGATTTTATCTTTACAGCTGTCACAAAGGCTCAGCGTGAGGTTAGTTTAATCACATTAAAACAATGCCTATCGATGTTTACTCCCAGCCTGCTGAACATCCTGGGGCTGGAGCATGAACTGCTGCAACACTCAGTGAGAGCCAGCCTTGGACTAGTTGAAGTTCCACATAATTTTAAATAGTTGTAGGTAAAATTGGTTCTAGCGTGTCACCATGGGAACCTAAAATTAGTGGATACTTTTTCGTGTCAGCCCACCTACCTATCTAAAAAAAGGGATGATAATATAATTTCACAGGAGTGTGAAACAAGTACACTCAGATACTACACTGATGAATACCTCGGAAAACCTATGAGGAAATGAACTGTAAATTATCCCAACTGGTCTTTAATACAGCTTAATAAATAGGACATAGAAGACAAAAAAAAAATAAATTAGATACTTGCAAAGTGAGTAGTCGGCTGTGCTCAGGTGTGAGGCAGGGGTCCTTTTAATTACATTCTCACATCATAACTTATTCATACAGACTGACTCATTCTCTCAGAATAACCCAGTTCTGGTTCTGTAGGCAATCTCAGCTCTGGCAGTTCTAGCTTTGGACCTGCTCTCCAGCTGATGCCCTCTGAGGCTGTGCTCACCAGCGCTCACCAGGAGAGTCAGGTGAAGGTATGGGCTTTGCAGGAAGGTTGGCGTTACACGTGCCATCTGCAGCCTGACTTTAAATACTGAACTTTTTAACGCGCTTGCACTTGGACTTCAGAAAAGTGCCGTGAGCTCCCCCGGCCCCACTCCCGTGTTGCACACCCACGCTGAGAACCAGCCGGGCATCCGCCGGCATCTCCCCATTTCCCGCCCGGTGCGTTACCCCCGCGGCTCCGACACTCTCCCCAAGTCCTTCTTTCCCAAGCGGAAGGTAGTCCCTCGCCATCACCCTTCTCCCAACGCTCTCTCCTGCCTCTCCGAGACGCACCCCAGCCCCGTCCCTCAGGGTGCGGGCAGCGCGGTCGGGAGGCGCCGCTGGGCGGGGGACGGACCGGAGCCCCCGGCGGAGCCCCGGAGCTCCCGGCGGCTCTACTCACCGGCCGCCAGCAGCAGCGGCAGCAGCAGCAGCAGGGGCGGCCGCAGGGTCGGCGGGCGGCGGGGTCCCATGGGCAGCGGCGGGCGGGTGTGCGCGGCTCCGGGGGCAGGCAGGGCTGCGGGCTCCGGGGGCAGGCAGGGCTGCGGGCTCCGGCGGAGGCGCCTGGCTGCGGGAGCGGGTGTGTAGGTGTGAGCCGGAGAGGCTGCGAGCCGGCTATAAAAGGCCGCTTTCTGCCCCGAGCCGGGTCCCCCGCAGCCGGGGCCGAGGACCGCGCTCCGCTGTCCATCTGGCCAGAAGGGAGGAGCTGCCGCCGGGGAGAGCCGGGACCCGTCACTCGGGCCGCGGGAGGGGAGCGAAGGGGGCTCCGCTCTGCTCCGCCAGGACTTTCCCGCTCCGGTAGCTATCATTTCTCTTTGATTTACATCGCTTCCTAGATAATTTAACCGAGACCCTAAGAGTTAAGATGGCAGTGAACTGTAAGTTATTCTAGCGGTTAATTACAACCAGCACAGAACGCGCGGGCTGTGCCTGCACTCTGAGTCTGCCAGGCTTCACCTCCTGATTGCTGCTTTCTTGGAGAACTAAAGAACAACCAACTCCTAAACTGGTTGTGGGTATTTGTAGCTTGATTAGAATAACTTTTAATCTTCCTTCAACCAAGATGGACTTTTTTTGGGTACATTGTTCAGCCTTCACATTTTTTCCACTCCCTTTCCGACTCCTGTACTATTCAGTGAAGCCTGCAGCCGGATGCCCTGTTGCAATTGCTGTTTCCTTGCCCCTCTCAACAGACAGCACCACTTGCTTTTCTGTGATTTTTCCCCTGTTCCCATGTTCCAAGCATACCATCAGACCTTTCATCATTGCACTGAAACCAGTGCGTTTCCTGACAGCTGCCCAAGCAATCAGGACCCCTGAAGTTTTGGGTATTGGCTTGTGTGTATCTGGTTTTGTTTTCTTCTTTTTTTTTTGGCATTATTTTATGACTCCCATGGGATCCCATTGAGGCCTACGCTCCTAGGATAAGGAAGAAGAGAGAAAAAGAGGGTTTTTTACTGAAACTTTCCAAGAATTTGTTCTTGGTCGTGACCTCTGAGAGCAGCTGGTAGATTTTTTTTTTTGTAGTGAATGGTATTTTCACCAAAGAAATACAACGTTTTTTCCTGTGTATAATGAAGGATAATTCTATTTTCGCATTAAAATGCTCTGATTTCTGCGTTATATCATTACTTTTGTTATCAGAAGTAGAGAATCATATGTGGTCTGATTTCAAAAGACAAAAAGCATGCACAGACAGATCAGGTTTGGTTTTGTTACGCTCTCATTAATCCACGCTCTCTGAAATGTTTGTGTTGGCACCGCAGTTAGGGTAGCGTGGGATACATGTGGAAGCACATCAGTTTAAAGCAGGATATCGATATGCCTTTGGATGCCCGATGCACCTTAGTGCAACCATGTGCTGCACACCAGAAATGGCAGGCGAGCCCAGCCAAAACTCTGCGCGGCGCTTGACGAAGCAGAAGGGATCACGGTGTGGACTTGACAAACCAGGAGAGAGCAGGGTCTCCAGCTCGAGAGCTGGTATTCTGCAAAGGGACAAAAGCTGCTGGAGACCGTGACTCGCTGCTGCCGGATCCCAAGTGGCTCCTGAGACCAAGTGGCAGGGCACGCTGCCGGCCGGGCTGTCCCTGCCTTTCTGGCACTGACACACTGGAGCACAGCTGCCCCCGTGCCTCCCAACGGAGGTGGGTGAGAGCACGCCTGAAACAGGGTGTGTGGCAACCGTAAACGTTCTCAGTGACCCCAAGGAGTCTTGGTAATGTACAAGAAGTCATAACAGAAAACATAACAGAATTACGTTTAATTTTATTTTTTGTTTTAGATTTTGTTGCTACTGTCATCAACTGGGTCAAAGCAATTTTCCCTATTACTCATGGAGTCACATCGCTAATTACTGTTACTCTATTTTCATACTGTCACTTATACTGCATTTGTTTACCCACTCTTCCGGTGAGTAACTCGCACCCATTAGAACGTTTTAATAGTGTTCAACAGTAGTTTAGTGAAACTTCCAGTTGAACAGTATCCCATCCAGCATACCTTTGGATATGACAATGAAAACAGTATCCAGGGGAGCAACAGGAATTCCATTTCATGTTTGTTCTTCAGGAGACTGACTGATGCAATGTGTTAGTGCACTTGATGCTGCCTTGCTGCAGTTGGTCCATCTCCTCTGAAGGAAGTGATCTAAAACCATTGAAAAATCAAGTGAGACTGACACGCTCAGACCACAGTTGCTTCTACCAGAAACTAGACAAAGATGTGAAGTGACAAAAACTACATGATGTGATGAAGTGAAGGAGTTCAGTTTCCTACGAGTTGTAATAAAAGTTCAAAGGAGAACATCTAGTGAAATCAGGGCAGAAGGGGGAGAAATCCGATAGAAGGAAATACTTATATTGAGGAGGAGTTAGGTTGTCCAGTTAATTGCCATGGCATATGGCTAAGAAAATATACTAGTAGCAGACTGGAAATTAATATGGATTACAATAATACAGTGATATTTCTTTTTAAATCAGGTTTAAAATTCCCTTTACATTTTTATATAAAAACTTCTGTGGCAGTGCAGACCTGTCATATTTGCTTTTTGTAACGTTCCTTTTCTTTTGTCTGAAGTATTTGGTAACTGGTATAAGTCATATGTGACAAATGGCATTTTCCTTCTTACTGATGGATTCTTTCATCAACTAGAGTTGTGCAGGGACAGGGAAAAGTACTTGCTTTTCAAATATACTTTCCCAAACAAGGTTGTATGTGCTCAATGGTTGCTTTAATTAAGTTTTTTTTTTTTTACGTCTGAGGAATAGATTAATATAATTGAGACATAGTTGTACTGAGGAGCATTCTCACAGCATAACAATATTAAGGGCAAACTCATTAAGCTAGTTGTAAAAGCCACATTTATCAATGACTGTGATTCTGTACATGCAGAAAGATGGTAAGAGAATATTAAAATGTTGATGGAAAGTGCTAGAATGGTCTAAAATATGGTTAATGTAAGTGCAAGTTATCCAATTCCCTGTGAGCAGGTGAAGGTAGTGATTTTGAGAGCAGTTGTAACAGTATTTTTGTAACAGTATATTTACTGCTGACTAAACAGCTGCAAAGCTATGTTTTTGTAGTAATAGAAGAAGTCAGTTCCGTTAACACTTTTTATTTAGTAAGAGTAGTTATTTTTACTGAGAAATGAAAAAACATTGGCCACCTACCTAGGTCAGATTTATATATATTCCGCATTTAGCTGGTACAAAGATCTGTAGTAATGATGATAAGTATAGAAGTACTGGGGTCTAAACCTACAAAATTAGGATCCTACTACATTAAACATGTGACAATTAAGCTATATGACATATATGCTTCCCCACTGAATTAATGAACTAATAAAGATTGGTGAAAGTAATTATTTTCCCATTGTTAGAGATGGGAATGATTTGCTGGCAGGGTGATTTGCTGAAGGTGTGATATGATGGCTGGGGCAGAGCTGGGAAAACTGCACCTTGGTGTTCTGCATCCCAGCCCAAGTCCCAGACTGGGGTCTTCTGTGGCATTGACTCCTGGAGGAAAATAAGGAAAGAAAACAGATGCCTCACTGTGAAGGTATCAGAATAATCTGAAGTGAAGAGCTGCTTCCCAGCAGTAAGTCAACTGACTGTATTTACTTGAATTTTATGCTTGGCAAATGTCCCCAAGTTACCCCACTTTTTTTAAACATTGGATTGGAACACAGATCTGGCCTGGAATACATCCCTTACAAGTGTATGTTCTTTCAGATACTGAACATCCAAGTAGTACACAATCACCTTCTGTATCAGTGTTGTCTTCATAAAAAAAGCCCAGCCTTACTTATTCAAGTATTTGTTTGGAAACATTCAGTGCCTGTGTTCCCATTTTTAGAGGTCTGGCTGGTTTTCTTCTCTTTCATGTCCTTCCATCTTCTCTTAATTCCTTTTAACAACCAATGCTTCCTGTTTACCAACATTTTCTTCAGCTGGTGTTGTTGGGGATGTTCTAAAAACCACGAGAGTTATAAAGCATAGTTTGGAGAGCCAAGCTCCACGCAGAAGATTAGAAAACATTCTGCCATTTTATAGTATTTTCCAATGTACAGGTACTATCTCGTACCTATTTCTAGCATACAGAACAAAATCCAACTTTGATTTAAGACTTTATCAGCCTATAGTATCCCTTGTAATGTCTTTGGGAATAGTAAGCCTATGAGTAGCATAATATGTTCTGAGAGAATTTTGGGGACCGTGTTTGTGGTGCTGTCCTTTATATGCCCTTTGGCAGCGATGTTATTCTGTCCATTCTGCAAAAATCCTGCGCTAGTGCGTAGCTGCCCAGAACAGACAGTTGTGTGCTGGAAAGGTTGTTATTACATAAATGGTCTTGAAACTGGTTTACAGTTATAATGTATGCAGAGGAGCTAAATTACTCCTACGGTTTTCTTTTTTCATCTGTCTTTTTTTGGTTTTGTTCTGTTCCAGATTCTACCCTTGGCTCCTTAAGTATAACAGCTTCTAGCACAACATCCACCCTGTGCATACAATCACCCAGGAGAATAACAAGATTGCAAGCATGTTCTTGGAGCAGCACGTATATACTGATGCAACTGTCCATTTTTCTGATATGGAAATACATCATCTGTCTTTGAACAAAGCAACAGACTGGAAGATGCTGGGAGAGAGTTCTATAAATAATGTTTGGCTCTTAAAACAAAATCTGAAATCGTTATCCTATCTCTGGAAGGATGTTCGACTTGCACTCTTTCATATAGGTTACATCAACTTGGATTCTTGAAATAGCTGATGTAATGACCGGGATGATGGGATAGAGTGACCTCTCAGCAAGTCTGTGGGTGATACCAAATTGGGGGGAGTGGTTGATACACGGGAGGGCAGGGCTGCTACTCAGGTGGACCTAGTCAGACTGGAAAAATAACCTGTTGGGGATGTCACAAAGTTCAGCAAAGGCAAATGCAAAGCCCTGCATCTGGGTTGGCATAACCCCATGCAGCAGGACAGGCTGGGAACTGACTGAATAAAGAGCAGCTTTGTAGAAAAGGAGCTGGAGGTGATGGTGGACAAGTTGAATGTGAGTCAACAGTGTGCCCTTGCAGCAAATGCGTTCAGCTGCATTGTCCGATCTGAGCGTACCTGGTAGTTTTGGAGGGAAGTGACTCTTCCCCTCTATTTGACACTTGTGAGATTACATCTGGAGTTCTGTGTCTTGTTTTAAGAAAGGCATTGACATACTAAAGTAAAGCAAGTGAAGGCCACCAAACTCTTCGGGGGCTGCAGCTCATGACATACAAGTGGCAGTTGAGAGAGCTGGATTTGCTCAGATT